GAGATTATTATAAACTAGCTAAATAGAAAAAATAGACAGCATCATCTACAGCTTGGGTGGTAAGAATCATCTTACGAATAATCTCCACAAGAACATTTCCCATCTTTGAAATGATGAAATCTACTAGCGTCCCTCACGATTATCACTCGGTTTTTGATTTCTGATATGAACTTAGTAGCAACATGACAACCATTGCAGATTCGTAAGTTTTTCATCACTCTTATTGGAGTACCTGGGGGAGTATACATTACAGCAAAACCAATAGCCAACTTCTCACTATGATGAGTAAGTTTGTATTATTTTTCCTCATTATCCATATCGTGCAGAACAGATGCAGTGTCAGGTGTAAAACCACGCAACTTCATATCTGAAGTTAGTTTTTTCAAATACAAAACGATCTCCTCTGATTGCGGATGGAATTTATCAACAATGCAAAACTGATGAATCTTATTTTTTATTTCCAACCAGCTTATTCCAGGTTCCTTCTTCACTCTCCTATCTCTCATGGATTTTCTTACAGTAGAGACATCCTGCCACATTTTAGCAGATGCATGAATGTTTGAAAGGAGCAAAATAAGAAGCAGAATCCTGAGGATCGAGCCTAAATACTTCTGTGGCAACCCTTTTTGCCATATCTGCATTCTTATGGATCTTAAATGCGGAAAATAAAGTCTTCCATATTATAGCATCTGCCTGTACCGGCATTGATCTGATTGTAGCCTCTGCTTCATCCGGGCAACCAGAACGACCAAGTAGGTCAACTACACATGTATAGTGCTGTACACTAGGTTTTAGTCCATACTTCTATAGCATTAGGTCAAAGATTTTAAGTCCTTTTTCTTTCAAACCACAATGACTACCAGCATAAAGTAAGCTCAAGAAGGTGACGTCGTTTGGCTCCAACTCTTCCTGCTCCATTTTCTCAAACAACTTGATGGCTTCCTCTCCTTGTCCATGAAACCCATAAGCAGCAATCATTGAGCTCCATAACACTGTATCAGGTTCTTCACATTCAGAAAAGGCTTTTACAGAACCTTCCAAATACCCACACTTCGAATACATGCTAATTAATAAACTTATCACACCAATTACTGAACTAAAACTGTTCTTTATCACTTAAGCATGAATCCGTTGACCTTGTCTTAGAGTTGCCAAGTCAGAACATGAACTAATCACGCTCACGAAGGTAATCTTATCAGGCCTAAAATCTGACAGTTTCATCATATTGTACTGAACCAAAACATTCTCAGGGCACCCTTTTTGAGCTTTTCCTGCAATAAGTGTATTCCAAGCAACCACATTCCGGATTGGCATAGATTTAATTACCTTTTCTCCTTCCTCCAAGCCCCCACATTTCATATACATATGAGCCAAAGAGCTCCCAACAACCAAGTTGACTTCAAACCCACATTTTATCAGATTACCATGAACCTGCCTCCCCGCAAACAAAGCTCTCAAACCTGCACAACCCCTAAGCACACTACCGAGAGCATACTCATCAGGCATAAACTCCCACTCACGCATTTCCCTAAACAATCTTAACCTCTCCTCGTTATATTCGAACTGAATGAACCCAGCAAGCATGGCATTCCATGTGGCAATATTTCTGTCAGTCATTTCATCAAACACCTGTCTGGCACCGTCCAATTCACCAATTTGCAGATACCCATTGATCAAAATGTTACAAGACATTATATTCTTTAATGGCATGAAATCAAACAATGCCAGACCTGTCTGTAGCTCTCTAAATTTGGCGTACATGTTTAGTAAGTGATTTGACACAAATTTGTCCATTGAGCACCCAGATACAATTATCAAATAATGAAGTTGTTTTCGCAAAGAAAGTGATTTCTGGGAGATACATGAATGAATAAGGTGAGAGAAGAGAGATAGGTCTGTTCATCTTTGAGATTTAAGCCTCTCAAACGCTTCTTTTGTGTACCCTTCGGAGCAGAGACTGGCGAATACGTTTGCAGCGGATTCGGAGGTGTTTGTAAAGGAAAACGCAGCGAAGTGAAGGTTAAATGAGTAAGACCCAACCTACCCATGCATTCGGCATTACCATTCCTGATTCTGAAAGGAAAAGTTTAATAAATCTTGAGAAACTGGAAAGTGCAAATATGGAATTGAAGCGAATCGAGAAACAGAAAGGTTAAAGTTTCTGGGCTTTTAGGTAATGGTTTCAGGGAGAAAAAATTTTACTTTCAACTGATGTTCGGTGTGGTAGTAGGGGGCAGAGATGGTGTAGGGATTCGTTGCAGCCCACGAGGCTGAGCTTTTTAATTGATATAATGTAAAGGGGCAACAACCGACACACCAGGCTGAGCATAATCATAGTACCCATTGCTTAAATTGATTGGTAGTGTTAGTAAATTGAATTGCTTTTTACTTTCAACTGATGTTCGGTGTGCCTTTTTCTCCCTTTGTCGATCAAGAATTCAAGGAGCACAATCATAGTACCCATTGCTTAAATTGATTGGTAGAGTTAGTAAATTGAATTGGTGGAAGTAAGATTTTGCTCAAGAATGGTCTTTTTGGTTGTTTAGTTTTTAATTTTTATATTTATTATTATTATTTGTTTAAAAAATTAAAATTATTTACATATTAATTAAAGAAAAAAAAATGAAGTTATATAAAATTTAAACATGTGACTCATAAAAAATGAATGACTTAATTTAAAATGAATATTACTAACTGTTCATAATTTTGTTATTTTAAAAGTATATAAAATATTAATAAAAATAAATATTTAATATATTATGGCGGTATGTATAAGCCAGTACTGCCTGACTAAGTTTAGCTTTGCTATGTAAATGGCTTTGGATGGTGAAGATAAGAGGTGTAGCCATATGATCATGTGTTCTGCAATTACTTTATGCACAACTTGGGTTTTTTTTCTTTTCTTTTCTTTTGTTTTTTTTTTTTTTATCTGTTTTGGGTTTTGAAGTGAGAAAGGGTGGATTGGAGTGGGAAAGAAGGTTCAATTATGATTTTGGTGAAAAAGTTTAAGAACTACTTGTAAATCCTTATATAATTACATGTTTAATATACAATAGAAATAAAAATGAGATAGTTAAAAGAGTGATTCAAAGTTTACATTTACATATTATACACATTATTTTTGTGTATAATAAAAGAGATATGATTAAAAATTTCATTCATCCTCACTTTTAAAGTATAAAAAAGTTATTTATTAAAAATAAATAAATAAGGTAGAAAAAAGCACGCTTTGATAATAGCACTTGCACAGAGTCACAAGTAGTTTCTCCACCATTTTACAAACCAAACACAACTACTGGGTTTCTTCACATCACTTAGCATGCTTTTCTGCTTTCATTTTATTGAAGTACTCAAAGCAGAAGCAAATTTCTTTCATATGTGTATGATTTTGTTTCATTTTCAGTCCTAGAAAGAAATTAGAATATATATATATATATATATATATATATAAAAAGTTACAACTTCATTGACACGGCTTGGGTGCCATGCAGATTACTACCGAACATTGGGCTTTGTCAGTGACCAAAGCTTGTTTGAGTTTGTATCTCCATTTCAAGAGCTGAAGCTCCAACACTGATTCCTCCAACTTCTGCGAAGCTACAATTTTATATGACCGGCGCCTCCTCTGAATGAACCATAAAGAGGTAATGATTTTTTGAAACTAAATATGTCATCAATTTCGCCCGGTTGAGCCACTTCACTTTTCGTGGCTTTATACTCTGCTAAATGTTCCTTCCCAACCACACGTATGCTCAGCGTCCTCTTCTGCGGTGCACCGACTTTTATATACTCGTTGAAGAAGTCAATCAGTTCTGGTTGTGTAAGTTGCCTTAGTGCTGCAACCTGTTAGAAGACAATTAGTATTCACCTTATTAATGATTTATGTTCCTTGCAGATGGTGTTCAAGGAGAGAAATTAAAGACCAAAAATATGGTTTTAATGTCTCTCTATTACATTTACAGGTCCTGCAATGAATCCAATGGATGTTCATTTACTCTTTTACAGGTGAAATAGGATCAGAAAGGTTACATACCTCAGCTTCTATCCGATCAAATTTTAGGGTTCCATAGGCAATTTCTCCCCAGTAAAAGCTAGATTCTTCCCATAGATTCTTGTGCTTCTCAAGCTTCATATCAATCAATGCATTTACATTACTCTGCGTAACGACAAGTTCAGCACTGAGTTTACCATCAAGAGTTGCCCACAAAAACATATGCACATACATGGACAAGCAAAAATGCATGCAGGTCGACACACCTAGTCTGAATGGTATCCAGCAGCGCACTAATGTGGACCTTATGATCGAGGTTCAAGTAAACCTAAATGAATAGAAGAATAATTACTCAAGTCTACTTCAATCTTACCTTGAATTCATCCTGGGTCATCTTGTAAAGTTGGGTCTCAAACATCTGAAGAAATGCCTGAACTCTCAAATCAATATGCTCTGGGCCCTGTGCAGGTTAACCAAGTTTTAGGGATGAATCATCAAGATGACAAATAATATAGAGAAGACAAAACAACAACATTTACCTTCACAGTGGACTGGATAATAAACTGCAATCCACGGATTCCCCAATCATTCCTAATGAGCAGAAAAATGAACTTAAATAAGATATAAGATAATGATGCCTAAATTTCGTGGATGGGAAACTTATCATACCTCTGCCTGAGAACAGTAATGTACCCAAGTTGCTCAACAGATCTAAGCTGATGGAAGGTTGGTTGCTTAGCAATAAGGGCAAAAAGCTGAAGTTTCACATTCAACATAAAATCATCTCTATGAACCTGGACATTTAGAGAAGACCTTACATCAGAAATCTACTATTTTTATAGGACATCAGAACCCTACTAAGAATTAGATCAATGGCAAATCTTACCCGGCAAAAATAAAAATCACACTACTTGGCTATCAAAAAAGATTACAAGATAACCTAAGCAATATGATATGGTAACTAAGGATCTTTTGATTTAATAACTAAACGATTTGCAAACCATTTTAATAACTTAGAGAGTTTTGTAGAATAGATGACTAACTGCCCTCACAAAATTATCTTTTTGTAGATTCCAAAACAAATGTACTTTACCTGAATATAGTGGAGAAGGGCAGAATTCTCATCACTTGGATTTAGTCCTTCCTTGGAGTAGAAGTAATTCATGTCTCTTTCAAGTTTTACAACTCTGTTTGTGAGATGCTGGGATGGAAATAATGGTTGACATATAGGGTTTGAGCCCTTAAAGAAAATATCTTCAACATGCTCTATCATTGACTTAGCCTCAGCGCATTCAATGTTACCTAAGTGATAATGAACTAAAATTCAGAATATAGAGAACATAACCTAAACCAATAACTTTATTGAGTGAAAGTGGGAAGAAGAATAAGAAAGACCTGCTATGTAGCATTCAAGGAAGGCCCTTGAGAGCATCATGGGAGCAAATTTGGCAAGGTCTTCAGCTTTAATATTTGGTAAGACTTCAAGTTCTTCCATCCAAGGCCATGAGCGGTCCTCCAATAATAATGAGCAATAGTGCATAGCCTGCTGATAAGGTTGCTGAAACTTCAGATTTTGATAGTCTTGTGTTAGCCGTTCCTGAAAAAAGGACAGCAGTGGGAAGAAATTCAGAGGACACTAGAGAATGCAAGTCAGAGACTTAAGAAAAAGGAGCTCAAATAAAAGATCCTCCATAGTCTCGTGCAATGATGTTATACAGTAGCATGTTTGAAAGGCTGTATTATGAGGATGTAGTTATGTATAACGATGGGAGTGATGAATGCTGCCTCTTTAGGTGGACAAACATAGTTATGCATAAATCTGTGAGGCTGAACAGGCTTTAACATGACAAAGCTCACAAAGAGTCAGGATACAATTGAACACAACAAATAAAATACATTCCAGAAGCTAGGTAAAGATATTTAATTGGCTGATATTAGTTGGTTGTATGTTGAGTTTTTTCAGGGGCAAAAATAAGTTGGAGTGACATCTACAACACCTGAACTAGCTAGATTTCATTACCTTGATTATGGAAAACCTGTCAGGTTTTACTTCAAATTTTGCAATTTTATCAACAACAGTATCCAATAGGATCCGTAGTTTGTGATTATAACCAACCACTGTCACCTGAAGAAGAACTGGTTAATTACAAATACAACAAACAATGCGTGGAAGCACTTATACAGCACATCAAACAGGGTAAATACTACCAAATGATAACCTTCCATGGATTTTTTTCATGCTCTGAAGTACTCAAAGCATAGATATCACAGAGTAGAAGATGGTCAAGCCAATAAAAAATCAAACAAAAACTGAAGGCAAAAGAATAAAGCAGGAATCTATTCAATCTGTATATCTTTGTTAGATTGTGAAGCAGCTAGCATGATAGTATTCAGTATACCTGTGAGCAAAGCAACAATCACATATATTCAAAAGCAGTCCGGTCTAAAATGGTTCTCCCACACCAACAAATTTTATGGATGCTTAAAATAAGATAAGATAGTAAAAAATGTTCAAAAATCAAATCCAAGAAAAATAGAGATAAACTGAAATGGATCTCTTCTGTTTTAAAAAATAGAAGAGAAGAAAAGAACTGTCCAATTTGTTATATGGATACCAAACTGAAGCAAAAAAAGTCAGTATCCATATAAAAAAAGGGGAAAAAAAAACCTCAAAACCACCATCAGTCCTGTTTATGTAGTGATGAAGGCCAGCAACCCCGGCATAGTAAGCTGGGAAGAAATAAAAACAAGTTTGTCAAAACATAGTGCTATTGACAAATAGAACAATAAAAAAAATCTACGGCCCCTGTAGAAAGAATGCGGTAGACAGCAGCCCAGGCAAGGAAAGGGAAAATTGAAAACCCATTGCGTATTTAAAGGCTATAAACTTATAATTTTACCGTATAGTATGGTAAATCTTTATTCAATTATTTGAACACAAGCAATAATATGCAACCTAACTTACCATATTCATTCAAGTAATCCATCACCAACCGTGCAAAAATTGATGTGATAATTTTAGCTTCAGGGGAATGGCTAGCATAGGGGCAGTTGAAGTCTATCTTAACATATGCCTTAGGAGAGGAGAACATAGTATCAGGCTTGTACCATACTCTTGAATAGGATGACTTCCTAAGTAAAACTGGATACTTGATCTGCTCCAAACTCAAATTAATCAGAAAAACTAGTTGTAGATGATTGTGCAAGACCAAACAGAGGGATTTATCAGACCTTTTCTTCCTGATCTTTAAGTGACAAATCTCTTGGGATGAAGATATTAGATGCTGGTAGGTGCAGATTCTCATTAGGAGCCATTGACATCCACTCCTGCAACCATAGATTTCACCAGGCACTAAAATTTCAAAGATTCCAATTACAAAAACCAAACAGGCATATTAATTTCAAATTTAGCTACAGTACAAAGGGGCTATCGTTCATCTCAAACAAAGGCAACTGTGCAACAGAGATATGATCGTTTTTCCAAGTTTCTCCACATAATTGGAAATTGATATCATAATAACCATACATGTCATATCTGATATTTTTCCAACATTATTAAGTTTGGAAGGCAAACATCCAATCTAAAACCAATTGGCAACAGGTAGAATAGTCTACATTGTGTTTAAGACCAAAAGGTTTCCCCTTAACTTCAGGATGTGGAATTTTATCACTTAACATGGAACAATGAAAAATCAGGCATTACACATAAACCCAAAAACAAACCTGAATCATGGATGTAGTGACTTTCTCAATAGAATATGCAGTGCCATACCATGGTTCCACCATGTCAGTAAGCCCTTCAAATTTCTTTGACTCCCAGAAGATTCTGTAAACCATGGAGCAAAAAAAAAAAAAAAAAACACACAGAACCAAAACCACCTATGAACTGGAAAAATGCAGATAGTTAGTTGCAGCATTATGAGAAATACACCAAAATAAGAGGCATGGATTTTTTATGCATTTCTAAGGTTTTGGATTTTTTTTTTTTTTTACTTTGTTTTTATTAGAAAATCCTAAATAAAAAACAGAAATTGAAGTTTTTGAGAACTTATTTGTGTCTAATGTATGAACTGCAATATCAAAGTGAACATCAGAAGTGAATTGCATAATAAAACATACGAAAACTGTTGACTATTGTTTTAACACTCTTTAAACTGCATGATACTAAATTACTCGACTACCATACTAAATTATTTGTGCCTTCTATATATCAACATCGTTTATATTATTTAAAAATATAAAATAATGCATCATATGTCACATAAATAACAACCTTCGTTTCTTGATTCATTGCTCACCACTATTATCTACCTAAACATTCACCATAACATATGTGGACAGCCTTTCTTGTTTAACCAATTTCAAATAAGCAAGCTAGATCACCAGTCAAGATGATCAGTTGTTGAATTATATCGATATAAAAAGAAGCAACCAACATTTGTTCTACTCTAAATTTTGCTCTAGTGCTTACCGGACTTTATCTGGGGAAAGCTCATTAAGTACCATCTGTATGACGCCTTGATTGAAATTAGAAGGCATTGATGATCTCACAAGCCAGTCTTTAGGAGGATACATCTGAAAACAATTTCAAAAGCATCATTTAAACATGTAGAAATTAGATTAATCAGGTTCAATAGAGAATTGTAGAAAAGAATTATAAGGGTGGTTATTCTTCAGTTGTAGTTTGGGCTAAGTTGTAACTTAGTCTTTTGGTCCAAGAAATGTGAAGACAACAATAGTTGAACAGTTATAACGTGGTCCAGTTAATTTTTGTTGATAAAGTGAAGAGATACACAATCAGGAGACTAGTGGGCTCATGTAGTCCAGTCATTTTAATGGTCATACAAACTCAATCTAGGATGAAAGGAATAAGTTACAGGTAAGTGAATTTGGCATTGAGGCTTCTGATTTTGGAAGCTTAAAATCAAAAAGGGAGGTGGGATCCCAACAAATTAAAAAGCAAGAATAGAACCATAGTCAACACCTCTAAGGCAACGAAATATGAAACAAGGAAAAACTCAAGTGCTCAACACCTAACAATTACAAGAGTTGATGGGAAAATATAAACAATTAAGCGAGTGAAAGAAAAAAATAAATAAGCAAGGACTTTGAAACTCTTTCGGCCAAAAATCAGGGCTTTGAAACTTTAAAAGCACAATCGATTGAAGTCCATATTATTTTCAAACATTAATTTTTATGTGTTTCTCCCTTGGTTGGACATTATGGTACACTAGGTGTTAGATGTTGTACTTTTTATGTGATTGAAGATCAACCAGACTGGTAAAATAGTTGGTGATCAGGAGAATTTTGTTTGAAAAAGGATTACATAACACTACCATCTATTTTTGTTCAAATTTCAACAAAAACACACTAGCCAAAAAAAAACTCATACATTCAAGAAATAACATTCTTCTGATGCTATTCCCAATAACAAAAAAGGCTGCCAAAGAAAGGAATCAGCATCTTGTGTTTGATATATGATATCTCAATTTTGGACGTATTTAGAGTAACTTGGACAAGATAAACTTTGCTTATTGTGTATTTTGACTAGCACAGCATAACCATGACAACATGTGGTCTTTTTTCTTTTTTTTTTTTTGGCAAAAATCCTTGTGAAAGCAATACCAGAATGAAGCGATTATACAATATAAAATTATAAATATAGACTAACCCAGAAGAGTTTTTCAAGTAAAAACTATGCAAGATAGCCATTCATAAAAGTAAACAAATTAAAGAAGGTTCACCAAAAAAAGATAAATTAAAGAGGAAAGGGAAGGAATGAAGTCAATTACCCGCATCTTTGATGCAATGTTTATAACATAAGAAATAGGATGGACTTTGTCCTGGTAGTGAAAGCCAGTCTCACAGACAGCTAAAAGCTTCATGACAATTAAAGATGTCAGAATCTAATAAAACGTGGAAGACAACTCTCTTCCCATATCTCTAATATTAATATGAATATCAAAAACAATAATTAACATTGGAAAAAAGTATGTCAGCTACTGCTCAAACAGAATCATACCTCATCAAATATCCATTTGCAAACACCAGATTGTTGTAAAAGTTGAATGTATTTAAATAGCAATCCTACTATATCCTGCATGTGATCTGAAATCCAGAAAAAAAGAAAAAAAGAAAAAAAGAAGTGACTTTAGTGAGGAAAAATATACCAAACAGTATCAGAGATTCAACAAAAATAAAACAATGCCAAGCAACACTTGCCAAAAAAAATAGAATTATAAATAAATCAAATACATGGCAGGTGAAAGGAAATGAGTACTAATAAAGAACTTACCTTGACCAGCATCTGTAAGATCAATTACTACTCTGAAAAAAGAAAACTCCAAAGTCCAATCTCCTTCACCAGCAAACAATCCTGTAGCCCATCCTGCAAGTTTCATAGAAGTAAGAAGTGGCCTTGAATAACAAAGACAGGCCCATATACATATATATTTTTTAGTAATTAAGATTAAATTTATTTGGATTTTATTAACATAAATTTTTATTCAGAAGTGTTGGAGCATCATATACCAAAAGCCTCAAGAAATGAAGCACCTTCTTGGCAGAAAAATCTGACATAAATTCAATTCTAATTACAACAAAAACTAAAACCTTTGCTAAATTTTCTTATTGAGATTATCAAAACATTTTTCTTACAAATTATTTACTAAGAAAATGCAAAACATGTCAACAAACAAAATCAACTTCCATGAAGGCAAAATATGTTTTAAGATACTTCAGAATTTGACAGCCTAATGCATGCTAAATATTTGAACAGCCTACCCAATGTTTTCAGGATGTAAAACAGAGACCCTTCTCCTCTATGGCGAATAAGATGACCAAGATACCTGCATGGCCCTTCTTTGTAATAACGAATTTCTGGAGTTATTGGCCATACAATTGTCAATTTGTTCCCTTCTTTTATTGGAACTGCTCTAACAAGAATCTGAAACAACCAACAACATAAAAGATGGACAATAAATAGCAGTGCTAAAAATCTACTACCAAAACGTTTACTTCCTACCTGCCATAAATTGTCAAATGCATTTACTCAGTAATAACATGATTTCTACAGACCTGTAAATGTTCTGATGAACAAGGCTGACCAGGAAAACTCGGGAAGCTTCTACCAGAGTTCCTAATTTCCTGGAACTTATCCTCTACCAGGCTCTGTATTTTATCAAGACTTTCTAAAAGTCCACAACAAAAAGATAGAAGTTGTCATTACTAAATATTATGAACTCTCTTTGTGTCAAATCAAATCCTTATGTCAGCAAGCCCTAGCCATGCGGAAATTTAGTTACTAACCTTTTGAGTACACAACTAGATGCATAAGGTTGGCAGAGTAATTTTCTTCATAGAATTTGAGCAACTCTTGTCTTGTATCCACTCCTTTTGCCTTTGGTCTAACCTCCAAAGTATCCCAATTCCCTAAAAGTGAACAAGCAGTCAATTCACTGCTAGAAACTGTATATACTAAAGAGCATATGTTCATATTTGTTTTTCAATTTTTGTTAGATAAGTCTTCTGACAAGTTCTAATGCAGTTAAAAATAAAAATCAATAGTAGATTAAAGACAAACATAAATATATACAAGGAACTGAACACCAAACACAAGAAAACATTACAAAAGGGAAAAAAAGAGATAACACTAGTAATAGCAAGAGAGAAGCAAAGCAAATTAAATTGCTCTATATATCAATGCTTTGCACTGGAACAAAGGAGTCACATATACAAGAAAGAATCAAATGAAATAGGAAAGAGAGAAAGACCAGCTACCCTAAATATCCATAGAACCCTAATAATAATAGTAATAATAGTAACAGTAACAGTAATAATAATAATAATAATAATAATAATAATTGACCGTTGTGTAAAATAAAAGGAGTACCCAGAAGCTTTGGATGCAAAGTCTTAGCAGCAGATAAATACAGAATTGTTAATGACAGCTTCACAAGATTCAGACGTATCTCTTATCCAATGAGGGGAAACGTAAATTGAATTAGAGAAAATTCTTACCTGTACCAAACTTATGATAAGGATGGCTTTCCATACTGATGTGACTTTGAAGCTGTGTGGAAGGAAAAGTTTACATAGACAAAAAGGCGTTAGATTGAAGAAATTTCACTGTGAAGAGACAGAACAAAAAAAAAAAAAAAATCTTGCTCGAGTGTGGGAAAGAAGAAACTGAAGCTGATAGCATTAATATCTTGTCAAATTAATCAGCATAAGAAAATCCACTTTGAACTAATCAGAAAGCCCTGGTTTTGTTTTAAGGTTCCAGTACAGAGGAAGGGGGAAGGAGCCAGTATATTTTCTTGTGCTTCATTTAAAGGGGGTGATGCTACTGAGGCATAAAGGGTAAAAATTTTGAAGAAAAAGGGTAAAGGAAGACTTTGAAAGTCATTGGAACTTTTGTTTATTTAGTAATTTTGAAAGCTACAATGAAAGGATACAGATAGCTATAAAGACACTAAATAAAAAATCGTATAACTTAATTCCACAATCAATGTCCAAAGATGAAGAAAACCATCTCTCAATTAACTAAAAGCAAAAACCCTGCATTCTTATTAATTTTCAACCAACTAAAATACAAGAAAGTCTCTAACAGAAACTCTTCACTTTCACTGATTACTAATAAACATATATAGCTTATTGGCTTGGAATGTAACTGTCACGTCTATAGATGGTATCCTTCAAAAGGAAAAACGAATCCATGCATTGAAAAACAGCCCTCATAGGTATACTCTAGTCTAGTCTTCTCAAGTATCAACAACCAACTAAAGAACATCACTCTCAAAATTCAAAAATTCACAATATGCCGCTCCTCTGAGGAACCAATCCCATAATTACATACAGTTAGTGGTTAAACTTTGAAGGTCAGTCAAACAGAAAATTATATTCTTGAGTATCAAAACATAAGCAACACAAAGCATAAATGCAGTACTCTCAAGTTTGTGAAAATGAATTCAAGAAAATTATTCCAAAAATTTCAAAGCACCCACAAAATCCAAATTTTTTAGTAACATGTGAAAAGTGCATGCATGTAAACAGAAGTCATCTTTCAAAGTCCAGTCTAGATATAAATCTGTAAGATACTTGCAATTTTGGCAAAGAAATATTCAATTCCTTACATGCCATCACTATGCTCTGTGCTAAAAATCAATAAACTAAAACAAAGGAGAGTCTTCTAATCTAGATATAAGATCTAATTCTACTAAAAGAACAACAAAAACTTTAGCATTTGAAGTTAGCACATTCAGAAGCTTGAAATCTTTGGTCAAAAAAAATGTTTGAAATCACTCAATTGACGAAAGAGAGTCCAGAACAGTGGAGGTATTACCTGGCTCATTCTCCAATAATCAGTAAGCAAGTTCTTCTTGTTCTCTGGAGAGAGAGGGAGGATAAGCACGAATAAATTGTGGTTCAACAATGTGAGAAATAATATACTAAACTAAATCCAGAAAATGGCAAACCAGAATCAACTGCTTTGATTTCCCTCATGGTTGCATCGGCTGACATCAACGGTTTAATGAAGAACTGTGCAAATCTGAAGAAGAAATCAGGACAACTAATCTAACCTCACAGAGAATTAATCAAAACCAGAAAATTGATCAAGCAGTGCCTACCTGTCCAAGGCTTCTTCAAAACTATCAGTATTAACATCAAAATAAAAGTTGGTATTCTCAGAATCTGTGAAGGCATTTCTACTGCCTCCGTGCTGTGCATAAACCATTCGAAAGGTCAATAAAATGAAAAAAATAAATTACTTTAACATAGTCCACAATCCTCTTTTCTACTATGAGTTCTGAAATTATTAATCAAGCTTAGAAAGAACTAAAAACCCCATTAGATGCAGCTCATTTCATCAACTAAAAATATATCAAATCCTTCCATTTCCTAACACTAAATCACAGCATATTGCGCCGACCAAAAAAAAAATCATAGCATATTGGAAAGCAATATTATTCATTCTTCTTAGGTCAACCATCAAATAGAACAAGGAAGACTGTATTAAATTTAAGACATATATTACCTCTGAAATGTACTTTGAGTAACTATCCTCCAAAGGATATTTCTCACTAGCATAGAACAGCATGTGCTCTGAGAAAATACATCACAACCAAAAGCAACCACTAAGACCAAGCACCCAGTTCCCAGGAACCGGAAATTGAAACATCAAGCCGAAAACCATGATAGGAAGAAGAAGTACCGAGAAAGTGAGCAAGGCCTTCGAGGCCATCAGGATCAGAGAAGTAACCAACACCGACGTCCATAGCAGCAGCACACTGAGACATCATGAAACAATGAGAACTGTTGATTTCTAACGTAAATGAAAGGGAGAACGGAGAAG